GCGCCGCGACCCCCGCCCCCGCCTTCGTGCCCGGCCGCGGGCCGCGATGCTGCCGCCCCGCCGGCAGCTGCCCGCCCGGCCGGGGGCCATAAAGGGCTGCGGCCAGGGCGGCACTGCGGTACCGCAGCTGCCGGCGGGTGGATGCGGCAGCGGCTCCTCCCTCCTTAGCTCCCGCGGGCCGCTCCGCAGCCGCCGCCGCAGCAGCATGGCTCTCCCCGCGGCGCCCGGTAAGTGCCGGCCCGGGCGCCGCGACCTTGGCCGCTGCCAGCGGGCTCTGCCGCGCGCCCGGGACGGCGCCGCCGGCGGCACCCGTGGGAACGGCGGCGCTTTTCAGCGGCGCGTGATCGTTCGCTCTGCAGGGCCGCTGGGTCCGCAGCCGCACCGGGAGTAAGGAGCCCGGCGCCGTCCCCAGCGAGGCTGCCGGGCGGCAGCTCCCTCTGCCTCTGCCAAGGAGCAGCCCAAGGGGCCTTCCTCTGAGGGCTGGAAAGACTGGGTGAAGGCCCAAATTGCTGCATAGTGTTAAGACCTCGTTTTGCAGGCCCCTAACATGCCTCTCTAGGCACCCCCCTTGTTGGGTAACAGACTGCACCCCTACAGTGGGATGAGATCCTCATCCCTTCCCAGTTTGGGGTGGTACCGCTTGTGTGAGTATTTCATGGGGTGTCTCAGAATTATTTAAGCTTATTAAACCTAAATTCAACCTGTAAAACTGCTCAGCCAGTGTTAAACTCAGCCTGATGTCCCCAGTCAGCCAATACCAAAAAAAAATTTAATTGCTAATTTAGCAGCGGAAGCGCTTGGCCTCCTTTCACTCTTGACGATGTGCACACTTAATATAGTTGAATTACTGTATTAAGTTGACTGTGACTATGAGCGCATTTAATGTAGTTGAATTACTGGCTAGAAAAACTGTTTTGCCACCAGCCAAAGAGACACCTCTTCGGCACTGCTGGCACCTCTGTGTCGGTCAGTGTTGTTGACAACTGTGCTCATTGAGGTCAGTAGAAAGAGTTCCATGACTTCACTGAGGTTTGAAATTGAAAAACTAGTCTAAGTTTGCTTCCCAGACATTGTGGTATGTTGTCTCTGACTCTTTTAAGTAAGCAGGTATATATTTGTATGTCTGTTGTGTGGTTATACTTCATCTTATGCAGAATTAATATTAACTGCATATACAGCAAATACTCTGTAAGCAGAAAAACTGAATGGGTTCATTGAAGTAAGTGAAGTTTTTCTACTGGTCTTTGGGTTGTTCAGAAAATAACAAAATAATGTATGCGATAGCTAAATTGCTGTATTTCTCTCATCACTTTTTAATAGTATAGTTGTGTTTAGAATAAAAGCTGAAGTGTTCTTAAAGCAACTGTGAAAACAGGTGCACATTAATCGGAATCTTTTAGGCTGACAACAACAAGATCACATATCAGAAAGATCATGTATCAACATGTGAAACTTGCAGTGTGCTCACAGAGATAGGGTAAGGGGGGGCACTGATAAGTTATGCCTTAAGAGTGGTTAAGCCTGTCATAACCAATGCTGATTTTTAGCATACATCAAGTTATTCAAACAAATACCATCTCACCAAATATGTGAGATATGTGTATTTCTTGAAACTATAAAGGATTCTGAAATGCCAGTTTTGGACCCAAACTTCTCCATGCTCTGGCAATGTTTGCATCCATTTGTTGTGCAATGTTCTGCTTTTAACTTATGTTAATAAGAATTGGATCCTGTTTGTTAAAAATACTGTCATATTGAAGGCATTTAAGAAGACTTTATACTACATAATAAATAATGCTAGGAAACAATTTGCATGCACTGTATCATTTTCCCTTCCATACCACTACCATATGTTTCAAGTTTCAGATTTTATATTGTGTGTGAAATGGCATTTAAAGCAATGAAGCTATAAAAGAAATGCTAATGACTTTTATTTTCAGTGGTTCTGCTATAACACAATGGAAATATTTTGTGATTAATGGCTATTTAAATTGAAGTTAAAAATATAAAACATAAATAAACATTAAATCCTTGCTTTTTGTTATGTTCTTCAAAGCCGTGTAGAAGACCATCTTCTACTCGTGTTTGAACACTTGGTACTTTTTCAGGCCAGCTGAGAATAATCTGGCAGTGAAAACCTCATCTGCTATATCTAGCTTTTATTCATTGTTACCACAGAAAGTTTATTTCTTACCTTTCTTTTAGGTGTTTTATACTTCCATCTGAGCTGGAACCTTATAACCTGTATTTCTGTTAGGATGGGGGAAAACAAAGAAACTTTGTCAATAAGCACACTAAGAACTTCCTGATTCACAAAGTAGTATAACTCTACCTAGAGATGCGCAGTAGGTTCACTTGATGTTTTTACAGACTTCACACTAATTGAGATTTTGTGTAGCTATTCTATTTATTCTACTCTTGCTCAAAGCTGTTATTTTCAACAGGAGTACCAAGAAAAGTCTCTATTTCATTTACTTGCAGTTCTAATTTTGTCAACTGTTTTCTCTGCTAGCCGAGATGCCAAGACAGTTTCCAAAGCTGAACATCTCTGAGGTTGATGAACAAGTGCGACTTCTAGCAGAGAAGGTATTTGCTAAAGTCCTCCGAGAAGAAGACAGCAAAGATGCCTTGTCACTATTCACCGTTCCTGAAGACTGCCCTATCGGGCAGAAGGAGGCCAAAGAAAGGGAACTGCAGAAGGAGCTGGCAGAACAACAGTCTATAGAAACAGCCAAAAGGTTTGTATGGTAGTTACTGCCTTAATGGAAAATAATTTTAAAATAAGTATGTTAGTTTTGAAATATCTGCCAAATAGCACTCTCCTTGTCTATTACTTTGGGAGAAAAGTCAAAAGCAGGTACAAGGCACTTCTGTGATCTCCTTTAAGACTGTGCAGGTGGCCTGGTTAGGGCCTATTGCTTATGCAAGTTTAACAAACTGTGTAGCTAGGTTGAACTTGTACTTTAGGAAGTGAATGGACCTCCAACTTTTTGATGTAAAGAGTCAAGGAAAAAAAAAAAACAAGGAGAGACTCTCCCTCCTCCCCCCCCCCCAATATACTAGTTTCACTTTTAATTTAAAAAAAAAAAAAAAAAAAAAAAGGAAAATACTAACACACAGGAAAATGACAGCAATATGATACCTCTTTTAGTTTCTATAAAAATAGATGAAAGCAAATGCCTGACATTTCACACCATGGGAGAAACTGAAAAGTTGTATTGGCATAATGAGGTTATTCATAGTTTTCCTCAACTCTGGGAGGGGGGGTAAAATCTAACCACTATTATTTAACCGTAAAACTCATCTTATTTTCCTAGGTCACAATACAGACTTGCACAAGTGTAGCTGTGGGAAGTGGGATATTATTATAAATATATTGTATACCTATGGACACAAAAAACATTCATCTTTGTCCTACAGAAACAAGTGAACCTAGAGGCCACTTGCACAGCTTCATTTGCCTTTGGTTGTAGTTGATCCAATCCTGTGTTTTGGGAGTTTCATTACTGATTTCAAAGGTTCCTACAAGTACTTAAGAAAAGATGGAATTTGATAATAGGGTATTATCCACACCCCTGCTGCATGTTCTTATTTGTCAGAGCATCACAGAAGCAATAAACAGCTTCTGGACAGTATTCCAACATTCCTTTGTTAAAGGCTCATACTAACATTTTAAGGTTTGGTGTCCAGTTTATGAAGTCAGGAAACAGAATAAGTTCGTAATACATAGGAAAGTGATATTGCAGATAGTTTATCACCTTATGCTAATTTATTATATGACTGAAATTCAAAATTATTTTTTCTTATTCAGTTTAAATGTATAGGTATTACAAAATGTCACTTCAGATAATAGAATTATTTCATTTAAAAGTACAGCACATTTCTTTAGCTGTTTTGTCTAAAGGTACACATCTGCCACAGTTGCTGCAACACAGCTAAGAAAGTTTTTAAAGCCATTTACCAAAGTCTCAGGTGAACTTTTAAATGCTGCCTGTTTCTTGAAGAATTAAAAGACTGTGTAATAGTATGATAGAATATAACAACTTACCTTACATAACATTTGCTTATTTCCATCTGCTATTTTGTGAAATTCTGATGCTACCATACTTTAAGAATAATCTCTTAAATGAAGCATAGTGATCACATTTTTTTCTATACTTTTTATACTATTTGCAAGTAAAACAAAACAATTTTTATGGCCTTTTTAGAGTGATTTTTAAGTGCCATATGACATAGTGCACTCGCGTAAAGGCTGAGTGCAACCATGAGTTGCATGGTTTACATGTACGTAAAGGAATAAAAGCACAATTATTTTGTGACAAGTACTTTCTTGTTTTAGGCATTTTTTTGATTTTGTGAAATTTGTTAGAAAGTGTTTTTATAAATTGTTTTCTAATATATTTAATATTTTATACCATGACTTATTTAATGCTCTATACGATGTATTCTTAGGAAGAAAAGTTTCAAGATGATTCGATCCCAGTCTTTGTCATTACAAATTCCAACCCAGGAATGGAAAGCGCCATCAGTCAACCCTGTTCTATCTCCTGCAACACCAGTTCTTCCAAGTGCTTTTCTGCCAGTCCAAGTGCCATATGATGTACCAGAGTTCCAGAGAGTTTCAATTAGTGGAGACTACTGTGCAGGGGTAAGAAACATTGGTTTGCAAAACAGAATTGAAGTCAAAATTATTTCAAGTTACTTATACTTTTCTCCATAAGTATATAAATCAGTAAAGTATAAGTAAGGATTAAATATATGCATGATATGTGCGAGGAGAAACATTGTGTGTGTGTGCTTTGCACATTTTGCTTGGACTCCCTTTCTGTTACTGGCTCTCTGTGACCATAGGCATTGTTGCAGTACATAAAAACCTTATGTTCAAGTCACATATATTTTGTTTCTGGAAATCCATTCTCCTTATTACTGGCATAGATTTGGTTTGTGATCAAAAATCCCATCATTTTTTGTCAGTACTTATCCAGCCTTTTTTCTTTCAGGTTACAGTTGATGATTATGAACAAGCTGCCAAGAGCCTTGTGAAAGCTCTTCTCATTCGAGAAAAGTACTCACGTCTTGCCTACCATCGCTTCCCAAGAACCACGTCCCAGTATTTGTGCAGCATGCGAGATGAAAAATGGAAGGTCGAAGATGAAGTGTGTCCAGGTAAATATCCTTATTTTATTTAATATAGAGCTAAATCTCTATACTGCTGTAGTAAAGGTAAGTTGGGTGTTTATAATATTCTCTTCTGTGTGATTTTTTTCCTCTATAATTTATTCTATTAGTAAATGACAAATTAGTAATAGACTTATGCTAAAGAGCCTGTGTATGATGTGAAACTTTGGACATTAAAAGCAAAAAATCATTCCTGTTCCTTTTGACATACTAAAACAAGAAGGATTATGGGCACATTGACACTGTAAATTGAAGCATCATTTAGTTGCATATTAGCAGGCCCCAAGTCAGTAATTTCACAAGCATGGTTCATGCTTACCAGGTCAAGTCTGGAAGCTGTATAGTCATGTTTGCTGGGCACTTTGCCTGGGCTAATAAACTCTTACCTTTCAGCAAGGGTTATTAGGTTGGATATATTGCTATACTACATGTGCCATAAACCTTATTTGTCACTTAGTTGGATTGTGTCTTGAAAGCTTTGCTTGTGCATTAAACCTCACTGCTCGTTTTCCTGAGCAGAATGACCTTTCGTCTTTACAGACTTGTCACTGTAGACAATTCCATATTGTTGTCAATGTGTTCTCAGCCATAAACCTGTCCAGAAAGACACATTTTAAACTAATTGCCCTCTAGTTCAGTTGTTGGAAGAAAAGTAATTAACATATTTTCAGCTTTTTGTTTTATCAAAAAACAAAAAAGTAAAGATAGTAGGCTGAATATTCAAGACAGGGAAGATACTTTGGAACAGGTGATGGGCTAGTAATTTCAAGCTATTATTAAGAAAATAACTTCTTGCACCTGTGATTTTAAACTTAAGATATCAAATCTTATTACATGATTTCTTAGTCGGCACAAGTTATGACTGGATATTTGTGAATATTAGAAATAAATATGTATCAGCTTATAGATATTCAGGTATTCTAGGCGAGGTGAAGCAGTAAAGCACACAGACTTCTTTTTAATCCTGGTTTATGTTTCAATATGAGAACCAGTTGCTGTACTGTGTGCATAAATATAAACTTCCAAAATTATTACAATGAGTCAGAAGGTTAAAAGAAAATAATGAAGGTGCCTATGTAATGAACAGCTGTTTAAAAATCTCCACTGTGCTTTCAACCACTCTAATTTTAATATACTGGAAACTTCTTTTGCAACTTGTGTCATCAGGCATAATTGTGTTCTTTATTACTGTATGTTTATAAATTGGTTCAGAGAATTCTAATATATGATATTTGAGTTAAGGTAGACACTAATGTCTTAAAGGGACTATGGTTAAATATAACCTGTCTGTCAAAATGGAGCTATATTGTAACAATACTTTTTTTTTTTTTTTTTTCTGTAGTCACTAACTGTGACTTTAATGCAAATGTTAATATTGAGGTTTCTAAAATATAGAAGCAGGAAGTCCTTTCTGTATGTATGTCTGTGGGTGTGTGTGTAGGGTTTTTTGTATTTTTTTTCCTAAATATTATACAAATTTATTTCCAGATTTTCATTCACCTCCAGAAGGAAGTGAAGATCCTTACAATCTTGATGATGCTCCAGACAATTTGGATTATGTAATCAAGATAAAAGGTGGCATTCCCTTTATTTATGATAACAAGGAAATGATGGAACTCAATGAGCCTCGGAGTCTACCATATCCTGACCTGGAGACCTATACCCTTGACCTGAGCCATGTTCTTGCTCTAATTGCAGACGGTCCAACGTACGTTTTAATTTCTTTCTTCCCCCTCGCTATTAGGCAGCTTGTTATGTCTGCTTTAAGGCTTCTTACTTTTGTGACAATTAATTCCTCATTCGTTCTACAGTCAGGTATATTTTTCTCTTTTCAAGTTCTAATGCATCAAAAAGACCTACAAGGAAGAAAAATAAACAGCTTTATTCTATTTCTCGTTTTTCTTTGTATCAGCCACAGCAAAAACGAGAAGCAGTTAACAGAAATGCAAAAACAATTGGCCAAATATTTTCCTATAAGCCAGATCTGACCTAGGCTATGTCAGTCTTGGACCGAAACTTGAACCTTACCTCTTTGTTTGTTTTTTTTGTTTTGGCCTATGTTGAATATGAAGGCTAGAACAATTACCTAGAATACCTTCATGTCTGCCATATCTGGCAGTTATTCCAGATGTGAATTAACTCCTTGTACACCACAAAACTGAACGGAACATCACCCCGGCTCTCAAGCTTCCCAGAACTATCAAACTCCTGGAAAATCTCCCTAAACCCAGAAATATAACAATTGTAGTTCTGTCACTGTTTTGTCATGTATGTCAATGTCTCTGCCAAGTGAGTAAGAAAAACTTGAGAATTCAAATTTTAGGTTATGAGTAACACAAATTTTGCTTCCACGCTGAAGACTGGAAATTTTAGTGTATTGATCTCAATACCAGGAAAGGAGAAAAAAAATCCATCATAGGAGGGAACAAAGCAGGAAGCTGGACTCTTCTATTGGGTTGTCTGTCTTCCCTTCCCACCTTGCATCTAGGAGTCTAACACCCGCAGCATATTCTGCCTGCCTCTTGCATTGATAGCTGCAAAACATCTGGGTTGAACAGACCTGTCACCTTCCCTAAGCAAAAGTCTGTTCTTCTGCCATTCGTTATTGCCAATATTCCAGCTCCAGATTAAAGCTAGCGTAAGTGAGCTTGTTTGGAGTATGCCTTGAGTAAATGCATTTCCACTTTCAGTGTGATAAATTTCAAGAGAGATGGATGCTGAGAAGATTAAAGGACAAAAAAGTATTTAAAAAAAGAAAAAAAAACTCATACTGTAGACTTCTCTTTTGCAGCATCTGCTAATGGCCTTAAAGAAAGCAGAAGGAGGAGGGAGAAAACAAAACAAAACAAAAAAAATGAGTCTTGGTAGGACATCCTAGATAACTCAGTCATTCTCTCAGTAGAGGCAATCATCTGTTCCTTTTGCTCTTCAGATTAAGCTATTCCTGGTTGATTTATACTCCCTGATGAAAACACACTAACCAAAGTCTTTTCAGTAATCCTGTTACATAAGCTCTTCATACTGTATTGTATTTTGATGATGGAAAGCGCTTTCCTATCATTTGTCTATTATGCATGGGCTGCTTAGAGATCAAGAACCAACCCAGTGTTCTATCCTTACTGTCCTTAAACTGGGGAAAAATGGCATCATTACTCCTCAGTTCTCTTGTCTCTTGCATAATAGTATAACTCAAGAAAGATATTCTGCAGCAGGCAAATAGGTCCTGATTAGTATCAGATACAGTGAGACTTTGAATCAGATTTTCAAATCCATTATTGGATTTGTATTCCATTCATGACAAAATGTCAGCAAAGAAGCAGAAAAAGGAAGGCTGTTACACTAATAGTGCAGCTCTGATAACAATTGACAGATGGTGAAGAGAAAAAGCATGTCATTGTTTAAAAATAGAGTGAGAAACACAACAAAAGATGAAAGAGAAGCCATGACTATGAATAGGCAAACAGGAAAAAAATCTAAGGAATCGAAAATGAAATATTCTTATCTTGGCTTCTACTATTCTTCTATTCTTTCCATTGAAAAGAAAATAAACGTATTTAAAAAAAACGACAACAACAAACCCAAAAACAAACAAAAAAACCTGTACTTCCATGATGAAATAACCTGTAAACAAGATCTATCTGTATATTTGGAGTAGCAGCATGTATGCGTTCTCTGGCCAAATCACTAGTAAAAGTAGTGCAGTTTATTTACAGATGCAGTGATGAATTAGAAAAATTAAAGCATGTAATATATATGTATAGCTTTGAAGTTTTACTAATAACTTTGTCCTGAAATTGGACTGGATTTTCACTTACATATTTGATAATCAGTACGATAAGAAGAATGGATTGGTCTAAGTCTTTATAGTAAATATATATATATATATATAGTTATTTTGAAAATACTGATTTTTGTAGGAAGTTGAAATGGAAATAGTTTGACATCATAATTAAAGTTTTGATGATTTTTCTCTCTCTCCTTTTTTTTTTTTTTTTTTTTTTTTTTTTAACCCCCCTCCAGGAAAACATATTGCCATCGGCGTCTTAACTTTTTAGAATCTAAATTCAGTTTACATGAGATGTTAAATGAAATGTCTGAATTTAAAGAACTGAAGAGTAATCCCCATCGAGACTTTTATAATGTGAGAAAGGTAAGTGTATAGCATGAGAAAGGTAAGAGAAAAGCATTAAGTCATATTAAAAGCATGACATTATTTCAGTGAAATTTTCAGTTTTGCTTTCTTTATGTGTGGTATAGATTGAATGGATAAAGCAGTACATGCCTACCACTCATGTAGGTCCATTAATTTAAGAATATTTAGGCTTTTCTACATGGAAACACTCAGGAAAATTAATCTGAATATAAGCAGGTTAAATGAATTATGTTAAATTCATATATTTACTTATTCAGAAGCAAAAGGGCTTAATGCTATGTAGATCACTTCAAAAGAATAAAACAATCAAATTAGGCTTACTTCAATTATGAATGAAAACATCCATATAGATGTCTAATTTAGTATAATTAACTTAAAGATGGTTCAAATGCACTTTCCTGCTTCCACATAGGTAAGTCTTAATAGACTGTATTATGAACAGTAAAAGTATTTTGTAGACAATTTTCACTTTACAGTGAAAATACCTATGTACAAATGCATGTGAAATGGAAATAAAATGGAAATAACCTCCTACATAAAGCAGACTGATGGTTCCTACTGCTATCAGCACCTGCTAAAGAGATCTGTGGTACTTGTTCACTTAACATTCAGGCTGACTTAACATTTGAGTTAGATTCCTAGCTGCCTCTGACATTCACTGGGATATAATGAAGGTTCAGGTAGGGGAATGGAGAAGCTGCTTTCATTTCCTGCCTGCTCACACCCCACGAAGCTGCCTTCTCTTACAAATATAGAAGGAACATTGTTATGCTGCTTAGTTTGCTTCGCTTGCTTCAACTTTAGAGGAAGTAACTTTACTGGAGAAAATACTTCAGTTGGACAAGTGAGATTTCTTCAGAAAATAATAGTTCTTGCTTGCATTACATTTGTGATATTGGTACCATGATTATATTTTGGGTCCATTTTGCATTGTTTCAATATACAGTTAAAAGACAAAGACAGAGTCCCAGTTTGTAACCCAGAAGACCAGATTTAGGTCAATGCTTGGATTCTTCTTGTTATGCTTTGACTTGTCAGTACATCCAGAAAATCTTCTTCTGCCCAGTGTGCTGGCTGCTAATGCAGGAAGAGTCAGGACTACTACAAAGCTGCTTAATGCTTGCTGCTGTTGTAGTAATAAACTATCAGTCACAAAGCCTACTGAACAAACCAGTTTGAATGTCCATCACGAGGGCAGGAGCAGATAGGTTGTTAGATAAATTCTAATTAATTTCACACTTTCATCTGCTAAGTGTATGGATGGGAGGAGCTAATGGCTAATGCACTAAGATAGGATTCAAGTGGCTGCAATTAAACTCCAAACTTCTTGACAGATTGCTTGCATAACCTTGGCTAAGATATTAACTCTACGCTATGGTCAGATGAAACACGTGTCTGACAGAGATGTTATAATAAAATGCATGGTGTTTGAGAGCTGTGGACCAGATAGGCACCTACATATCCATTGCAGTACTGACACTGTACAGGACTGTACTTTCAAAGTTCAGCTTTTAATGTAAAAGCCAATATCATATTTTTTTTCCAATTACCTAGTAGTAAATAAACTAGTCTACAAATGGTTAAATTTTTAAAAGCACAAAATAAGTATCACTTCCCCTTTGTCAGTACCTAAATTCAAGAGTCAAGAGCAATTTTGTTCTCTAATGGAGACCACTCCTACTGCTGGTTATCACTTAAAAATTCTTGCTTCTCTGAAACAGTTGCTATGGGAAGTAAAATGAATTCAAGAGTTCCTTTAAGCATAGAAATAGCCTATTTCCATAATAATATTCCACAAATATTATTTGGACTTCAATTCTCTAGACATGCTTCTTCACTAGTAACAGTACCCACAATTAAAGTTACAGTGTGAAACAGACTACTAGAGCCTTTTCTGTTCAGGATGTCTTTCTTTCCATCAGTCCTAAATGGTGAGTACTGCTTTTAAGAAAACCAAAGCATAAGATTCACCTTTCAGTGAAAAATTTCTAGTCCATCCCTGAGGTACCAGTAATGGAGACCTGGTTCTATCTTTCTACTTGTCTAACAGAACCCACATAACTGACTGAAAGTGCCAAGATTAGATAGTTATGAATGTTTAATGTTCTGTTGGGCTGTTGAATACTGTGCTGGAAGCTCAGCACAAAGAACCCTGACATACTTGAGCTCTGTTATTTTATTTCATCCTTAATCTCTGACAACCTGAGAGGATCTAGGTAGACTGTGTTCTACCATGCCTGCGCTAGAAAACACTGAAGAGCCCAGCTGATGGCCAACTCTGTCTTCTCCTAAGCTTTGCATTCTCCTACATGCACAGGAAGTGCCCACCCCTGTGATGAGCCATATGGAACCAGTTCTGCTCTCCTACCACATGCGGATTCTTGTCTGTCTAGATAAGTATTCAGATGGTTACTAAGAGGCAAATTTACAGCTCCAGCCTGATCAGTGCAAAACTCATCAAAGAAGTGTTCTGGTTAAGTCCATTCTTTTAAGTCCATTCATTCATTAAGTCCTTCACTTCTTAGAAGCACATTTTGATAATTTAGTGGGAGCTTGCCTTGTAATTTAATAAATAACTAGAGTCTAGATGAGCTTATACATTATTATTAAACCAGGAAATCTAAAACTATAAAAGGAAAGGAAATGGGAAGAATTAGCAAGCTTTGATTGTCATGCCAGCACATAATGCTAGTTGGATTTCTGCTGTACCTCTCTATATGCAGTGAGCCACGTTTAGTGATTGAGCCCAGCCCTGTCGAGTCCTGCATTACAATAGATGGTTGCTGCTGTGATGTGCCATCTGGTTTCAATTGCTACAGCTGAATTTAAAAAAAATAAATAAAGTTACAAGTTACTTTTTAAACCAGTAGTACTTTTCCTTTTTTAGTACACATGGTTGAAATGCCACTTCTTCCCTCTAAGAAATGGTTTCAGTACTTTTAAATATATTTAAATACTCCTAAGTACTGGTAGAGCTGCCACTCTTCTTTTTTTTTTTTGTTTGTTTAATAAAACTAGGCAGCAGAATTAACAGATTACCAAACTACAAGCTTCTATTTTTGACAGCTTTTTCTGACTTTGAAATTAAACTTCTATATACAAACCCTTTTGGCATTAAGTAAGAAAGAAGATTTTTTTAAGCAGAAAATGGACTTCTGTTGCATTATAGCAAATGTGGAAATGCAAATAGAAATAATATTTGGAAACAGACGCACACAGACCTGGTGGTAGAGGCTTGCTAGGCATGTCCCCAAAATCTGTAGCTTGTTTCTGTACTGTGTGAAGAACAAAATAATAACATTTTAAGAATGGGACTACATTGTCTTTTTGCAGGGCAGAAGGAAGGTGACAAGGTGGGGAACGCATTTATGACTCTTAAGTGAACTAAACTAGTTCCAAGTTCTCTATGTGGGTGCCTTTCATAATAAATAGTAAGAATTTAGAATTTGTTAGAGGCAGAACTGTTTTTGGAGAGAAGCGGCAGTTTTAAAGACAACTCCCACTTGTCATGCAAGCAAACAAAAGAAGCAAAGTTGCCTCTTCCCATTTCTTCTTTGTCCTCCAAACAGGAGGGAATTCATGTTGATTTTAAACAATGAGAAAGGGTTTATTTGCAAGACTCATGAATTTCAGTAGCTGAGCCACCACTGGAACTAACACATTGTAAAACTAAATAAGTTAGGCTTACGCAGGCTCCCTACAGCTGCTCTCTGTGCTTATGCTTCATTCTTCCTCAATGCTTAGCACTTAGGCTGCAGCTGCTTACTGCCCTCTCCCTGTCCAATAACAATTAACTAAACCTAGGAGCTGTCAGTGTTTCAGGGGTGCAGGAAGACTTCCTACTGAATGGCTGTTTCCAAAACAGAAAGGTTCTAACCTGAGTAAGCACATATAATATTTACCATTAGAAGAATACACTAACATCTGCGCATACAAACCACAAAACATCCAACCATCAGGTCTTGTAATGCCTATACTTGCAAGATTGGAAGCTCTTCCTCATGGTCTCTTTTGGATGTGCAAATACCTGTATAAAGCTGACAACTCCCAAACCGCACCTTGAAAACCCAAATAGGTTGCATTTTTGCTGTAACGAGACAGAGTGGTATTTCAACTCCTATTTCTTTCTTGGGAATGTTGTCCCAACATCTATTTTTAAATCACTAAATGTAGACAGCAGAACTAGGTACATTCTGTCAGCCGTGTTGTCTAGAGGCAAAATTATTTCTTAGTTCTGCTTTGAAGCTCCTTTCTTATTCTGAATGTTTCAGCAGCCCTTTTAGCTATAGTTTTACATAAGACTTTTGGGTAAAAAGTTATTTATAAAGACTCTGAACCATCTTCTGCCAATATACAGGACAGAGGTGGTGTCTGTGGTGCTTTTTAGCTGGCTTTTGTAAGCCGTCATACCGCTGTTGTTTTATCACTCTGCAATGTGTATTGCAAACAGACTATGTGTTGCCTCCTAAGATCTGAAGGGACTGAAAAATCTGCATCAGTATTGAGTAGTATATTATGACTAAACTTGGAAAAATAGTGAGAAAACTCCTCTAGGAGGAGGAGTTGTTATAGTTTTAGTGACTTAAGCTATTCTTGTATTTCAATCACATGACTACAGTCTATAACTAGAAAGACATCATTAATTCATGGATGAAATAAAAGTCTAGGGAGCTTTTTCTAAGAAATTGTCAAATTTAATCTGAACTCAGATTCCATACTTACCTTATATCTAAGTGTAACTTAGCTTTTCAAAAAGCCTTTTTTTCAGAAGGCTTTTCAATAAGGAAGCTATTAACTGAGGGCTTATTTGTAATGTAAAAATAAGTAATTCACTCAAAATTTCATGGTGCTGAAACATTTTGACTTGCTTAGATGCTAATTCTTTTGTTATATAAGGCATATTTTAGAACACTTCAGTCATTTTCTCTGACATAAATACTTCTGTATTTTAGGTTTATTGTATTACAGATGATGATGAGAAGGAATAACTTTGTTTTGATTTCAGGTTGATACTCATATCCATGCTGCTGCCTGCATGAACCAGAAACATTTGCTGAGATTTATTAAGCACACTTACCAAACGGAGCCGGACAGGATTGTTGCAGAGAAAAAAGGCAAGAAGATGACTTTAAAGCAAGTGTTTGAAAGCCTTCACATGGACCCTTATGACCTCACTGTAGACTCTTTAGATGTTCATGCAGTAAGTCTATTACATTACCAAAATAAAAGAGAAAAAGCCATATTCTGTGAAGTGTAAGAGACTGTTTCCTACAATTTTCTGCATGATAATTTATTAAACCAGGATTTGAGCTCGTGCATATTTTGCATGCTTGAAATAATTTAGCACAGGCACTTTCTTTGCTGTACAAATTATGACTAGATAATTTAATTTATAAACTATTTGTGTACTTTTAACCATGATTTGGGTACAATTGTGAAGATTGGGTTTTTCTTTTTTCTCTCTTACAGGGTCGTCAAACATTTCATCGATTTGACAAATTCAATTCTAAATACAATCCAGTCGGTGCCAGTGAACTGAGGGACTTGTACTTGAAAACTGAGAACTACATAGGTGGTGAATACTTTGCTCGTATGGTCAAGGTAAACAGTGTTTGCACTTTTCCAGCTGTGGAGCTCATCTTTGTAAAAGTTTCATGATATCAGAATGATATCTACAGTTAATACAGTGGTTATGGCATTCTCAAGTATTAAGGTTGCTCTAGCAGCTCCTCAGAAAAATATCTCTGCTTATCATCCACTGCTGCTTTCTTGACAGTTATGTGAGTTCTACCTGGTGTCTGAGTTCAAAGCAGAGTTGTGTGCAATTTCAAACTAATGGAGAGCAGCTAGGGCTCACTATTTAGGTAAGATGTAGTCACAAGAGAAGGGGGGAACTAGGAAAGCTCCTCTGCGTAATCTCTATCTGCACATGCACACACAGGCTTCACATTCTCTTCTTTCAGCAAAAGAATTAGTTGTAGTCCTGAGCTGGATGTCATCTCTTTTTATATCTATAAAGTGCTTGTCTAAAATTAATGGCCTTAACGCTACTTACTATGGGTCAGAGTCTCCATTGCTCTGCATATTTTATGTAATCATTTACTACAGTATAAAGTAATATCATTCTGATTTACCAATATTAAACATGAGTCTTGCAGTATTATTATTAGTAATTGTATGAGAATCAGGTCCTCAAAATCCTGGTGTTATATTTAATTTTCCTCAAATGACTTCTGAAACAGTAAGCTGGTAACATAGTGAAATAACTAAAAATAATGGATTAACAGACTAATAGTTCCCTTTATCTTTAAAGCGTGATAATACAGTTATGTCTGGTCTGAGAAAAGCATAATGATAAATATAGTATGCTACTAGCTGTAAATGATCTATAATGTCTGTATTAAATATATTTATTATATATTTACACAGGAAGTAGCCTGTGAACTAGAAGAAAGTAAATACCAGTACACAGAACCCCGGTTATCCATTTATGGGCGGTCTCCAGATGAATGGCAGAACTTGGCAAAATGGTTCATTAAACATAAAGTTTATTCACCTAACATGCGCTGGATAATTCAGGTTCCCAGAATCTAGTAAGTATATTTGTTTAGATGACTTATCAGGTGTCATATAGTTCTACTGGTAAATAGCAGTCTGGCAGTCTTTTTTGTGACCATCACTACAATTTTTCTAACAATAGGAGAGGTGGTGTCTGATTCAAAACCACTGTAAAATATTTTTTAGACCAAAGATACTAAAAGCAACAGAAATTAGAACAGAGTGGAATTAAGCTGATTTGAAAGGTAAGTTCAATATAACTTAGTAATGAAAATAGGTCAAATTTGAATTAAAAAAAGAAAATGTTCTGCAAAATTTGTATCAACAAATTTCTCCAGCATCAGTTACTAAGTAATCAATGAGTTTGGAAATACAATACAAATCGTTTTGATCTGCAAGCTTAAATCAGTATCAATTCTCCGTAATATTTAAGCAGTCTCTGAGACTATATCTCTTATATTAAATCCTCTGTTTTTCTAATAATCTTTCCCATAAGAATTATCAGCCCTGATAGCTTAGCTAAGTTTTATATTTTGAAATTAAGTAGTTGGAGTCTGGGCACAAAAATGCTGTCATGGTCACATATATCAGTCCAGAGTATACTTCTCATTAGGGAGAAAGTTTTTCACCTCTAGTTTCTCATGTAGAAGTTTCTGCTGGAGAGCAGCCCCACAGAGAGGGACCTGGGTGTCATGGTGGACGACAAATTGACCATGAGGCAGCAGTGTGCCCTGGTGGCCAAGAAGGCCACCGGGATCCTGGGGTGCATTAAGAAAAGCGTCTCCAGCAGGTCGAGGGAAGTGATTATCCCCCTCTACTCAGCCCTGGTGAGGCCACATCTGGAGTACTGTGTGCAGTTCTGGGCTCCCCAGTACAAGAGGGATGTGGAGCTGCTGGAGAGAGTCCAGTGCAGGGCTACCAGGATGATCAGGGGCCTGGAATATCTGCCCTATGAGCAAAGGCTGAGAGAGCTGGGTCTGCTCAGCCTGGAGAAGAGGAGGCTGAGGGGGCACCTGATCAGGGTGTATAAATACCTCAAGGGAGGCAGTGAGGAGGAGGGGGGCGGCCTCTTTTCAGTGGTGGACAGTGATAGGACTAGAGGAAATGGCTTCAAACTGAAGCATCGGAAGTTCCACAGGAACTTAAGGAAGCATTTCCTCACTGTGAGRGTRACARAGCACTGGAACAGGCTGCCCAGAGAGGTTGTGSAGTCTCCTTCTTTGGAGATCTTTAAAACCCGCTTGSATGCAGCCCYGTGCCMCGTGCTCTAGGTGACCCTGCGTGAGCAGGGGSGTTGGACTMGATGACCTCTGAGGTCCCTTCCAACCTTCGGCATTCTATGATTCCTCTGTACAAAATGGGAGCACAGCTTCAGTTATGTACTTAACGACACACTGAAGTACTGTGCCTCTTTTCTGAGAGGCTCAATAAATCCAACATAATATTTTATATTCATTCAGAATAGTTACAACTTTTGAAAACAAAACTATTTCACAAGGGATACTCCTTATTTTCCCTTCTTAGTACTGGGATTGCTGTAAAGGGTCACTGTTCTTGAGAAGGTATCTACCACTGTTCAGCATCTGTAGTGTTGGAGCTCTCAGGAGCTTCAGCACAGCCTGGATCAGCCAGAGTGCCAGGAAGTGCAGGAGACAGGGAATAGAGACAAGCCCTGTCATGACATAAACCTTTGGATTTCTCAATCTTGGTCGGACTGAAGCCTTAAAATATATACAAAAAGTTAGGAAATGTAAAGGTGGGGGAAACATATCAGTTGATTAAAGAATAAAAAGAGCTATGTATATTTTTTTTTCCTCTTCAGTGATATATTTAGGTCAAAAAATATACTGCCTAGTTTTGGGAAGATGTTGGAGAACATCTTTGTACCTTTGTTTGAGGCAACAATCAATCCCAAAGAGCACAAAGAACTGCACCTTTTCCTCAAATATGTAAGTATGTTTGGATCTCCAGTGCCTTACACAAAACAGATCCTCTCCAAAACTTAACACAACTTGTTTGTCAACAGCAATTGCCAGACACTAACAAAACCTTCTCCTGTTATATATTACTTATGTAATATATTACTTATATTGTTTTTCAACCCTGGTAGACAATTAAATAAAAATTTGGGTAAGGTCCTATTGTTAAATGGTCACCATTTATTTACTCTAAAATAGCTCAGCAGCTATTTGTCCACCTAATAATTTTCTCTATAAAGAACGATCAGCAAATTTGCACATGCACTTGTGCAGAGGGAATGTCCTAATCCAGGATATGTTTTCTGAGCTGTTCTCTGCCTGTTGGGCTGGCCTCCAAAAAGGAGGCAAGCAAAGGGAAACAATATGCAGCTCCTGATATGACTCAGATGAGGCAGGGATGTAACCGCTGAGGTGTGATAAAACGGAGACATTTCTGGGCATGCCACAGATCAAAACTTCAAGGTTTCCTGGGAGCCTCAGGCCTTCAGCTACTTTCAGGATGACACAGCAAATGAGTTTAAAGGATTATACTCTGGATCTGAGTGAATTTTAGGACACTATTTTCTATAAGAATATAAAGACTTTTGTGCATCAGGACTGCCTATTTGACTCAAAAGATAAAATACAGGAAACTTATGTTTGAGTTCTTTTCTTATTCTTTTTTTCCTTTACCTTCATTTTTTACTTTTCACTTGTCTTCCCGCATAACAGGCAAAATGTGTCCCCTTCATCCTTGTTCTGTAACTTCACTTCTGTTGGTTCTTCCCGGAACTAGCTTTTGGAACCAGTGTTGTTCAGGCAGTGCTGTAGAGAAAAAATATGATGCTGCTGTCTGTATGTTATAGCGGGAGTGCAGAGCTGTGACACTGCTGGCTCAAGGAAAGAAACAACTTAGAGAAAGAGAAGTTGATGCTTCATACAAGCAAGCGTCAGTAATAACAAAGTTTGCTTCTTGAAAACACCACTTCCTGTGCATATCTTCTCCCACCAGGTGACTGGCTTTGACAGTGTTGATGATGAATCCAAACACAGTGGCCATATGTTCTCTGACAAGAGCCTTAACCCTGACCTCTGGACCAGTGAGAAGAATCCCCCATACAGCTATTATCTATATTACATGTATGTCAACATCATGCTGCTGAACAACCTTAGGAGGTAAGTTGTTATTTTCTCTCTAACAGGTCTTCAGAGAGTAATAATCTTGCTCTCAATCTAAACCTGTCTCTAGATCATCTATCTTCTGAAGCAAAGGTTATTTTGAAGAACTACTGTAAAGAGCCCAAGATGAGTATATAGAATATTTTGAAAATATTTTCTGGAGAATGAATTCAAATGAAATATTTAGAAATTGTGAAGATATCATATTAATATCTTAGTTTGATATTTATATGTACCTGTTTTGTGATTCCTTAAATCATAAGAAATTAAACAAAAGGAATTTCACAAAATTGACATTGTGACGACTTCTTTGATTCACAATGAATTCTGAAGTTTAATATGCTCAGAACAGCTTCTCTTGCTAACTCATTATATCGTGGTATTTTTAGAGAAATGAGAAATTATACTGTGAGATTTTGGTTTAAGGGCTGCTGCCCCTATTGATCAAAGATATGCAAAAGAGAACATAATTATAAACTGCCCATATAGCTAATTTACTTCGATATGCTTGCTGGGTCATTCAGTTTTACTACTTTAATGAGATAAATGTCTTGGCAAGTAATGCAGGCAGTTAAGGTATTAGGTGTGATATCATGGCTGTAAAAAATACATTTTGCCATTGGCTCAGTAGAGCCTGAAATTCAACTCCAGCTTGTGCTTCTGACTGTGGCTGACTCATAGAGTGATTTGCACAGCTTACTCAATTTGAGGCACAGTGAGGTTATCCATTGGTATTAATTACAGTGTCAACTTCTATCTTGTGAGGGCTTGTTTCATTACTATTCATACATTTTTTTTCTGAGATACTATTATAGAGGTTACATAGACTGTAATTTTAACAAGAGTCTTATTCGAGTTTTGAACATCTCCAGAAACTGTAGAATATGTCTACATGGTGTAAGCAGTGTCCACTTTAAGTTATAATCTGTCATTGTTTTAATGTTCATGATACAAATATAATAATTCCAGAAATTGTAGTGTCCAATGTAACAAAATAACTAAGACTCATAGATAATCTCCATGCTTGGCAGGCTGTGGTTTCATGCTACATTTAATTTAGCGAGAGAGCAGCTTGTAACCCCCATGGGCAGTGTTAGCTCACTCTAGGCTCCATACTTCCTCTTCTTTCCTCATACTTGATCTAGGAATTATATGGCCACAGGTTGCCTTGTTTCACTTTGCTTTCTGTCTGCCAGTGCGCTGCCCTGAAACGAGTGTGCCAACTAGTCATTTTGTACTTAAGCAATTACTAAATGAGAGGTAATCAGGGGCTGAAGGAAGAAAGAGGACCGTAGAAATATGTGGTCAGGGACCTGCCCTTCTTGATAGGAGCCCATGGGTGGCAGGTTAGATTAGATGTCACGTCAACCTCTATGAGAAAGACTGTCTTCATTTTAATTAGTTCTTTATTTTCCCATATTAATGGTAATTACATATGAAGTAGTTGAGGCTATTTTCTTGTATTTTAACTTATTTTTAATTTGCTTAGGGAAAGAGGCATGTGTACATTTCTGTTTCGACCTCACTGTGGAGAAGCTGGATCTATCACACACTTGGTATCAGCGTTTCTGACAGCTGACAACATTTCGCACGGGTTGCTCTTGAAGAAGGTATGGCTTGGTTATTCTTCTAAACTAATAGCTTAGTTTTACGATAATCTCCTTAGAACTACCTGCACTATCTACATAGCTGGTAGTCACTAGCTCAGCTGGCAATCACTAAATATACTTTATCCGGGCAGCCTCAAATTAATTTTCTTAGCATGGCACAAATAACTCCTCACTTTGAACAGCAATAAGCTCAAGGAAATGCTGAGCATTGTAGTCCTTACTTGATTTAAATAAATGTCTGTGTTCCTCAGTGAATATTTCAAAGCAGAACCTTTATAGGGAAGACTGACGGTATAAGTATGTTAAGCACCTGTATTTGGTGACTGCAAGGAGAGGAAGAATTAAAATGACAAAAAAGAAAAAATGCTTGGACTTATTCCAGTTTCCTAGATTAGGTTTCAAGAGAATTTCAGGTTCCGTTCTTTCTGCATAAGGACAGAAATAGTTTTCCCTGACTAGCATCCTTATCCATCATTTAAAAGTTCATTAAGGTTTTGATTCAGTGTTACTGGAATCATTTAATGAAGAAGTTTAGTATAACTAGCAATCTTGTATATATAATTTGACTCTTATGATCAGGACAAACATAATCATTCGTGATATATCGGTATTAACTGAATAAAACAAAATAACACATCTCCTCATCCCCAGGCAACTCTTCTGTAGTTAAAATAATTGGTCAGTGGGTGGCAGTTTTGCACTGAGTTTAGAGGAGTTCTGTTGCAAGAGTTCTGTAATTAGGTTCCTGATTAACATAGGAAAACTCCAAATTTTTAGAAGCATTTAAGGACAAAGAAAAATTTGGCCTAAAATTATGTCTTATGTTTCTCTCAGAACCACTATTCCTAAAATTAGGATTTTAGGACACAGACATTGCACTAAGACTGCACCCAACTAAAACGTTCTCCTTTTCACTCCCTCCTGTTTATCACCTCTATGAGACCAGGAATGGAGTAAACCTAGCATAGCAGATAGATATGATAAAGGTCCTTGTCATGTTCACTGGCTGCTCAATCCAAAAGTAGTAGTGAATAAAGATGTATAAAATTGAACTGCAGATTATTTATATTATGTACACAGTAACACATGACTTATAATGGATTCAAATTTCTGCTCCTAAGATGCCCCTATTAGACTGCAGCTTTGGAAATAAGATTGCTTAGCTGTTTTAAACATCTGTTGTTTATTATGTTATTATTTCTAAGGAGGAAACTGCATCTATGTTTGAAAAACTATAAGTTATTTTTATAAAAATAGTAATATATAAAATCTAGGTTCTTAAATTTTTAAAAAAATTTTACAAGGAAAGCCATGAAGTTCAGTGTCGACTTAAATTCAGAGTCTTTAGTCCTCCCTCTGTAATCCTGTTTCCATTTTCTCTAAAGGAAAACCTTCTTTTCAAATTATCCCATAGTGACATTAAACAATGTGTTTTGTTTATAGAGTCCAGTTCTCCAGTATCTTTATTATCTTGCACAAATACCTATTGCCATGTCTCCGCTTAGCAACAACAGCCTATTCCTGGAATACTCAAAAAATCCACTACGAGAATTTCTACATAAGGGACTTCACGTCTCTCTCTCTACAGATGATCCCATGCAGTTTCATTACACAAAGGTAAGAGTTGCAAAAAAGTCTCAACTTTGAATTTGGCAACAGCACAACATGAGCCCAAAGTGGCCTGAAAGGTATTTTATATTATTGCTTAGAATGTAAAGTTAAAGTCTTTTTAGTCACGTCATTCATTCCTCTCCCTCATTTTCAGTCTATGGCTTACAGTTAGGTTCCAGAGGGAAATGTCTGATTTCCTAATTATGTTTCTTTTGTACTCTTGCCTCTCCAGTGTTGGCTGTTGAAGTATAAAATGGAGGAAGGATGAGGCTGGAGGGAGGCTTGAGCCTTCATAAATCCTCTAGAGTGCCAGGGAAGTCCAGTTTCCTTACTAATGAATGTGGGGAAGTACATTACCAACACAACCCGTGGAGGCTGAGGATGACGCAGAGGCTGCCTGCCCCGCGAGCTGGCACTGATGCTCCCTCGTGCGGTCCTGCTCCCTCTGCTCAGGGGGCCCAATGTTGCACCAAGCTGTAGGCAGACCATGCGCTACCTTGCTCTGTGGCCAGAGGATGAGTGGTGCTGATGGCAGCCACGCCTGGCCTTGCTTCTCCTTGCCTGCAAAGCGGCCCTGCAAGAAGAGATGGGGAGTTCTGGGTGGCGGGGGCCCTCTCCACAGTTGTAACACTGTGCCAGCCGACGTGCGCGGAGTGCAGGGCAGCCCAGCTGTTACAGCTGCTACAGTCACAGCCCCTTCCCTGTGCCACAGGTCTGCTGACCTGTGAGAAATGACCCAGCTACCTGGGCCCCTGCTCAGAGATGTGAGCATGGAGCCTCCAGGGGGTTTACATTCTCTGGAATCTCTGTAGAAGTTACGTGCATAAATATCTCTGAGGACCGTAGGCTGCAGTTTCTTAGCTCTAGAAAACTAGGTACCCAGTGCCTATTAATTAATAATCACCCTTGGGAAATTTGAAATTAAAATATCTGTTCATTAGTAATTTTTAATGTGAAAGTCTTAAACTTGTAATTTTACAGAGTTATCAAAGGAGCATGTATAAATTCCTTAAGTATTAATGAGTATATATCCATGTTTATATCTTATTTATCATTTGATACTAATGATATTTTGATGATACAGGAAGCTCTCATGGAAGAATACGCTATTGCAGCTCAGGTGTGGAAACTAAGTACCTGTGACTTGTGCGAAATAGCAAGAAACAGTGTACTACAGAGTGGGTTGTCCGATAAGGTAAGTGTAGTTGAAAAGCAACTTTTTATGTGTATGTGTGTGTTAATATTAGGGTGAGGAGAACTGAGAAGAAGGAGAACCTGAATAGCAGGTGCTTGTGTAGTATGTCTGCATGTGCACATCTCTATCGACTTGTCCAAAAGAATTCTGAAGCTATCTGCTTTGCAGTCTTAAAAAATATTAAAATTATATTAAAGCTAACAATTGGAATTTCCAAAATCTGTACAGAAAGCAAACACCTGTTTATACTTAGCCCCATCCACTCCCAAACATTTAGTTCATTGGATTGCTACCTCTCAGCCAGCAATTTTAGCCATTATACTTTGCACTGAATAACAATAAACTACCTATTGTTAAACAAGATATGATTAAGTTAGCAGGAGTACTGTTTTACTTAGGCAATCAGATTAAATTAATTTCCCATTTGTCTTTAAAACTCCAAATCCATGACAATTTCTAAGACGTACTTCAGAGCATCCTATTTAATGAGTCATATTCAGGGAGCTGCTAAGGAAGGGCTTTACAAGATTATTCTATTGTTTCCTTTGATATTCTCTAGTAACAATTGCAAATTTTTCTTCCTGTGCAGCTTTATTGTAACTAAGCAAAGAAAATCTATGCTTCTTTTTGACTTCTCGCTTGAAAGATTTAATAGTCAACACTAAATACTAGAAGAAAGGATTTTAGCAAGCCAGATTGAGGGTAGCAGTAGGGATAATTATATACATTGTTAGCCTTAAAATCTTAACAGGTGCTAAGACACTGAAGTAAAGTTCATGAGCTGGCCAGCTGAAGCTCCTCTTTTCACTTGTATCAGAGTTGTTCAACTAACATACTTATGCAATAAATCTACGTAACTAGATTGACTTCTTCCTCTATGTTTAATCTTTTCCATAGGAAAAACAGAAGTTCTTAGGTGTGAACTACTGTAAAGAGGGGCCTGAGGGAAATGACATTCGAAAGACAAATGTTGCACAGATCCGGATGGCCTTCAGGTATGAGACACTGTGCAATGAACTTAGTTTCCTGGCTGATGCTATGAAAACAGAAGAGATTTCTGCTCTGTCAAAGTAGTTTCAAATCCAAAGAAACTAGAACCTTCCCGAACCAGGATCATGTGCTAATCAATGTTGAGTCATCTGTCATTGAGCACTACCAAGACGTAACTGTTTGAGCAATATGGAGAGAAATAGAATATCTATGGAAGGTAAAACATTTGCTGTTATCTTTTACCACATTTTTTTTATTGCAGAAGTTTCTATTTCTATAAAGTTTAGGCTTTGTAGATTGCTGTAAACATTGGATGCCAATTCTTAATCATGTATCATTTGTTTCATAACCTTTTAACTGTGTACTGTATTGTAGCCTGGAAAACTATAGAGCATATTCATACTGCCTCTGTGCTGCTGCTGAGGATACTGCAGCTGCTGACAGGATATGTGCACCTGTTTTTGTCTTGCCAATCAGGGCACATGGCACTTGTAAGTTTACTGTTTATTAATTAGTAGATTATATAGGGTATATAATTTTGAGACTACTCTTTCATTCTGAAAGGTGGTCTGGCAGTTTTTACCTTAATGTTTTAGCAGTTATACTGGAAATCAAGAAAAAGAAAAGGTAGTCTCTTTTCATGACTAAAGAATTGTTTCCTGTTGTCACCTAGTAGTGGATGTCTATGAACAACAACATATTAATGCTTTTTAATCTAATAAATAGAAATCATGGTGTCAAAATCATCCTTTTACTGTACATGGTAATAATGAGCACGGCTGCATCATGAAAATGTTGCCTTGAAAGCGGAGAAAACTTTCTTATTGCTTGGTTACTAGTGGGAATATGTGGGTATGCCAGTTCAAATTATTTAGAAATTCGTGCTTGCATGTAAAGAAAAAATTTTTACTTGAACAGAGGAAGTGTTCTTATCAATCAGTGGTAGAAACTCCAAAAGTGGGTATCCTAGTCCTCCTTTTGGCATTTTTACACATTTATATTAGTTTGTATTTTCGTTGAAGAGCTGAATAAGAAGTCAAATTGTTTACTTATACAGAAGGTTGCCCACCTAAACTAATAATTTCAGAGCATTTTATATTAAATGTTTTATTTATGATGGAATGGATTAGTATTATATTTATCACTTTCACTTTTTTTTTCCCATTTGATCATCCTTCTTAAAACAAAGGTACTACTATTAATTCACATTAAAGGTAACAACATAGTAGCATATCTCTACCATAGAAGCTGCATGTAGTTTTATACCAAAAAGGACTCAAGGCTGGGATAGCCGAGAACGTAGAGGCCTGTCAGTCCAATGTTAAACTGCTTAACTGGAAGGCACGCAGTCCCTGAGCCAACAATTAGACAACTGGGCATCTAATGTAATACACAGGGGAAGTTAGGGTCTTAGAGCAGTAATTAATGCATAAAAAGCAAATAATTAGTGCTAGCCCAGGTAGAAGGGCCCTGGGAGGCAGAAGCAGCCTTCAGACTATCCAGGCCTCACTGCAGTTAGCTCCAGTATGTACAGAATATGTTTTTCCATCCAAAACATGGTTGTAGACAGAGGGTGGGAGGCTTCATTCTAGCACTGCAGATACCTGGTGAAAAGTCTGCTGGGCTTTGTACTTCTAGTGCATCTAAAAACCCTGTTGAAACAGGGCTACTGGTACTGCTCAACTCTGTTAGCAAATTTGTCCAAAGTTGTTAGTCAGCCCTGCTTGTCGGCCTCACTGACTGTTGGAAATTCTTGGTGCTCATATAATACATTATCAGGATCTTTAATTTTCTTAGGACAAAGTTTGAAAGAATTGGTTCCAACATTTTAGAGGTATAAAATACAGAAGCCTTATTCCCAATAGTACAGTGCACTAAGATACTGTTATAAACATACTGCTATTGACCTGAAAAAGTAGGTGTTCAGTCTGAATATGCAAAATATTTGGTTTCAAAAAATTAACTTTTAGTTATATTCATAGCGTAAAGAGAATCACTGCTTTACTCTGGTTCTTTTGCCTAAAGATTGTTATCTCTTCTTTTGTCTGTCACTTAGATACTATTCAGCTTTTAATATTATCCTTTTTTTTTTTTTCCTGTATATTTAATACCTTTCAACTTTCCTTATCTCAAACATATAAGGTTTTAACAGTTTTGTAGTTCTTATATAAAAACCCACAACTGGATTTGAAACTTTTTACAGGCTAGTCACCTGGATTTTGACAATAATGATCACAAACTGCCATTACTGCAAGGAACATCGCTTGGTTTAGAGTCAGTTTTGCTTCCAGTGCTTCCTGGGGTGCTGCTTTTAGTAATAAATCGAGCTAATAGTGCTATATTTTAGGAAACAATCCCACATCCTTTCAAGCATCCATTACTACCTCTCTTGTGATTGACTTTATTAGGCAAAGGTTACTGAATCTCAGGTCTTCTGAAACTTAGACATGTATTTTTTAAAGTTGTTTTGTTCTTTGTTATGGCTGCTAAAAATAACCCTGCAGTCTTATGATATCTATGTAATGAAGGACAAACACAGTGTTTAAAGATTACCATCATCTGAATTATTCTTACACATTTTACTCAAATATGAGTTTGGGCACTTGTTATTTTTTCCCAGATAGTGCTGAGATTAAACCTGGCTGCACCAAAACTCATGTTTTACTCCAACAGAGTACAGAGGAAGACCAGAAGAACATCACTGGAGGGTTTTATAAGTTTCGCTTCAGGTTGAGAAAGGATCCCATTTTCATCATTTTATTCTTGTTCAGATTGAACCATTACTCAAGACTTCCTTACATCAGGTAGCTCAGAGCATTTTACAATTTCACTTAAAATCCAAGAAAAATGCATAAAATTTTTGACCCAAACAGTCATTAAATATCACAGTAGTCTTTTGACATATACTTACTTAAAGTTGAGATTTATAGCTATTTGAACTGTTTCTAGTAATGCCCTTCTTTGTGCATTACATTAGCAAACTTAAAGGTATTTGCTCTGCTACTAGATAATACAATTTTTTCCTTACCCCAGAGCTACTCTGTCTTTGGAGTTCATTGTTCTTCACCTGTCCAGGCCCTTCTGTTTTTCCTCTACTCTGTAGCAGTGGCCCAGTTTAAATATCTATCTGAAAAAAAAGGGGGAAGTCTGTGAAAACTGCTTTTTCTCTCTGTGCCTGGGTTGAGTGGTGTTTATCTTTTACCTCTTGTATAAACGTTAAGCATTAAATCTAAAAATAAATGATGAAAAAATACACTTAGGGGTTTGTGTCTGTGTTTACCTATCTTAATAAAAATATAGCTATTCAAAATCTCTGCATTTCAGTAAAGCTAAAAACCTATGCAATTAAATTCTGTTAAGATTACAGATGATAAACCAAAATTAAGGATTACCACAGCATGAAAGCTGAAAAACCAGTTGAAGTGCAGAAACGGGTAAGCAATGCTTATGAAGTAGAGCTGAAGATTTAGCTGACTTTGCACTGAATTGCTTTAAGGAAAGCAAGCTCTCCTGATTCTTCCCCACACTGAACCTGGCATTTAAGGCTGAACATGAAATCGTACGGCAGGTCTGCCTGCCCGCTGCGGCCTCTGGCTGCTCTGGCTCCCTGTGCACTCCATGCTGCAGCTCTTCCTCATCGCAGTATGTAACTGGGAGCCAAATCACCTGAAACTGAGAGCTAGGATGAAGTTCTCACACCTAGAGTAAAATTTTACGCAGTACCCAGAACAGCTTTATATGACAGTGAAGCACAAAACTAAGAAGCCAGCAGGACACAAGTTGAGGGCAACGGACAACATCAAGGTAAATGTTCTGCTCCAGTCAATATGGCATTTGGCAAAGCAGTTTAACACACAGCTTTTTTTTAGTAGTTAACATAATAAAGATTTTTTTTAAGATGAAGATTACAATCCATATATCTAGTTCAATGCACAACACTATTTCTATATACAAGCTGCTACTTAGGAAACACAATATAGATTTAAGAATTTCACCTGCAACTGAAGAACACTAAATATCAGTATTAATCAGCACAGGTGATATAGTGTGGTTAGTTCATTAATCATTAATGAGGGCTAATAGCTCTCTAAAGGTCTAGAGATGAAAGACACTCACATATAAACAGTATTTATTTAGAAGGACTATTAAAGTGGGTTGGAGCCATGCTGACATGGAAACAGACTGTAATCCAAAACTGTTCCTTGCTTCACATAAAACTGAATTTGGGAAGGGCAAATACCTGGCTAACGTAAGCTTTGTTCATATAATAATTTATATTCTTAAAAAGCCCTTTGAAGTAAAGAGGAGGGCTCATTTAATTACCTTTTTCTTCATTCCACAGGAAGCATACTGGGGAAAGTGTCATCCAACTTCCCAAAACTGATTTTTTTTTCCAAAAAAAAAAAAAAAAAAAAAAAAAAAGGCCTACAAAACTCATGTCCACAGTTTAGTATTTCAACCTCAATAGCTAGCAAGGCCAGCAGTGGGTAAGCAATCAACTGCCAATTAATGTATTGACAACCTGGCTACAACTGCAATGAGCTTGTTGTCATATCCCTGAGCCGGGTAATTAAAGAGTAAGCGCTCTTTGGATCAAGAGTCCGTGCCAGATCAGTTAGTGTGTAGCTTGTATTAAACATCTTTAAAGCTTACAGAGGATGTGGCTGTTCCAGGATTCAGAAGGACAGAGCGTAACGGGCCATAGCTGAGATGTCCTTCTAAAAATAGTGCACTTGGCACATACAGCTTTGTAGGGGTAGAATTTAACATTTTGTTTTCGATTCTACAGCACAGCACTCTTGCTGCTTGCTTCATGCTCCCAGAGTTGGGATAAGTATGGGTTGGAATACCTTTAAAATTATGTACAGGAGAGTTTTTAAAAAGAAAGATAAATATATTAAAATACCATTTCCCACTAAATTGCAAGTATATATGTTACACTAATGTGCTGGCTAACAGTTACTATACATCTGAATTGAAATCTAGGAAATATAAACATTGGTTAATTCTTCAAGTTCACCTACCTCCTAGTGCCTCTGTCAACTTGTAAATTTAGCAGTTTTATTTTCTTGATCTGTTACTGAATTCCTCTCCCATTTCTCACTCTCCTTTTTGATCCAAACAGATGAACCAAATAATCAGACAGAGGAAACAGGTCCATTAGTTGCATATTTCAATTATTTTAAAAATCAGAATAAATCTGTGAACAAAGAATACTCCAATCCTAAAATTAAGCTATAAAGTATTATCAGAGACAGCATGGAATAGCTTGAGCAAACATACAACAAAACAAACAAACAAAAAAACCCCACAGTTTCTCCGATAAGCCCGTCCAATAGTTTTCTTATAACAACTAGAGTTTTTTTTTCTTTCATCACTTCAGAATGCTCCAATTTTTCTTTTGAATAATGGAAAAGAAACAGGATGAAGCTTTTCCCAGAGTTGTGTTCAAGCTACCTTGTTAAGAGCGTATTATAGAAACTGACTCACACTGGCATATACCCTGTTAACTATGGCACTAATATGAGTGATTTATATTTAAATTAAAATTCATTTCCAGACTTGTGTAATATCAAAGCTAAGAGATACCTTAAGTTTAAAACAACTATGGTGTTTCTTCCAAAGTAACTTTATTGCACAACTCATACACAAATTATAATATACTGGAATGCCCATTGCTGTTAATACAATTTGTAATGCTTAAATTACAATTTGACATTAGATCTGTAAGAAAACTTGATGTTAGCACAAGAAATTTCAGTTTGTTCTAATTCCCCCACCAGCAGTTATTGACAGTAATTCACACTTTCAAGGCATGTCTCCTGGAACCCATTACTCTGTCCCTGTCAGTGTGATTCCCTTTCCCTTTCCAAAATTCTGTTTGCTAAATGTAGCAATTCAGACTAAGAAATGCTATCAGTCCCAAATTACTAGTTTTGCAGTGTTAGTGAATTTATATCCCTTATAACATACAGTACATATATTTTACAAGGCACACATCACACCTACATCACAGGAGTGTGTATTACAGCAACTTAATTTAAAAAAAAAAAGCTGTACAGAATAATTTTACTTTTTCATTATTTAAATAATTTTGCATTAGTTTATAATTACAAATGCTACTATACTATACTTAATCTTCATTACAAAATTACATTTTAGGTAAGTTCACGTAAGTTTTCAGCAGAAATTCAACTTATAAAAGTCACAGTTCTGAAGTGTAGTACTTAAAATACTGGAAAAATAAAGTTAGCTTGAAGATTTAATTTAGATGCTTTTTTTCTGTTCCAGTGATATAAAAACCAGTTTAAAAATTCCAAGCTTATTTTAAAGCTTCAAATATGGACTAATGCAGGCTCAAAATGAAAAAAAGAAAAAAAAATCAAACTGGTATGTGATTAGAAACTTTAGTGAAAAATCACCAACCATTAACAATTTTCAGCACATATAATGGGCCCTTAAGCAAACAAACAGTCCATAACATTTTCTAAAGAATAAAGAATCTCATTGATATCAAAGGATTAACAAAGGGGAAAAGTAATTCTAAGCTACGTACATTCATAAATGGATTTTTAAATAGTTAAATACAGATATACACACTAAGCCACACTGGCTTTTAGATGATTGATATACATGAGACAATTATGTTGCTTATCTGTCCTAATGTCTATGATGATTTGACAACATGATCCAAGTTCAAACAGATGTCATATGCTGTAAAAGCTCCTCAATGAAATATAATAGATATTTGGTCCTCGACATCGTTGAATTTTTGTGTAGCTAAACACATAGGGAGAACAACCTATAGATAGGTATGTTCATGCCTTTTACATCTGATCTTGTTGATCAGAACTTGTCCCTGACAAAAGGCCTCTGCCTAGCATCACTGAGTTTTAATAAGTATGGAAAATACACAGTTTTATAATCAAGACTTGTTGATAGTTCTTCTAATGCTACACTTCAGTATTTTTGACTCATCAGCTTCAAGTTTAACAGCAGTATTTGTTAATAGCAACCTCTCCTCCACCGCCCCCAGATGATATTTATTAACTCACTCTCTCTAATGGCAGTTTGATTTCCATAATAGTTATGCAGACCAGACTTCAGATGGGTTTCCTGAATACTAATGATGATAATTTATTTTATACTTTCCAAAGGCAACTCTTGGAAGATTTGACTCTGCTAAACACAGAAATGCATGGATTTACTCCTATTGTGATATCCCTTTCCCCAAGTAGTCATATGCACATCTCTCTGCAAGCCACGGAATTATTAAAAAAGTAGAAGTTACTCTCTGCTACATAAAAGCATATTGCACTTGTAGATAAAAAGCACAGCACCCTTAGTTAGCTTATGATCTTATAACCCTAGAATGCATGATTTCATCCCTTTGAAAACTGAGGAAAAGCAGATAAAACCACAGCATCAGAATAAACTACACCTTAACTGCTACCTGAATACAGTAATTCTTTTCAGATGTTTAAATTTTTTTTTTCTTTAATCAAAAAGCTGTAGAAAAATGATTTTTTAGGATTGTGTATGAAACTGTTTAATGGTTCCAAGCTAAAGAGACTGTGCTAAATATTGAATTAAAAAAAAAAAAAAAAGAAAAAAGTATATTCAAAGAAATTATCTTGATAGGAGGATAAGGAAAAGCATGCGTACATTTACACAGCTGTTTATACTCTCCAAAATAGATTTAAAATAATCAATACTAAATTTTAAAATGGATCAAATTGAAATCAGGACCTGTAGACACTACAAGAAGCAATAACGGACTACTGAAGAATTATCAATGGGTAGTAATCAAGTCCTCAAGTTTCGGCAGCAAAATTTCAAATTAACAATCACTAGTCCTAGCTCAGCATCTTTATTCATGTTTGTCAGGAAAATGAGAGACTGCTTTTAAGGATAAGAGTTCTGAGGTTCAGCCATCTGACCTCACAGTTTACACCTATTTAGATACTGCATTTCCTGTAGCAGTGCATTTTGTGATGTTCCAACAGCAGCTGTACTAATATAAATAGCTTAATTTAGTAGTCAAAATGTTACTTAATAATAGCAATAATCGTTAAAATAACCTCTGTTAATGTTATTAATTAGTTTACTGAAACTACAGATTAATAATTAACACTACACATGTACACTGGCTTTTATATCCTGTGTTTTAAAAGAGCAGCATAGATTCACAGCAGCCAAGAAGATGAGTAGAAGACAGAGCAGTGCAAGAATGACAATGGGAAATAAAAAGAGATATTTATGAAAATGAAAGCTTCCAAGTGCTCCTACTGTTGTCAGCTTGTTGGCCAGTGTCAGGGTCTGTGAGGCTGGCCTGCCTCATCTACCATGTTAAGTATGTAAGTAGCGATGTCATCTTCTGTAGGGGCATCTGAAACCACCCAAGAATCACTCGCCCCAGTCACTTGCAAACGGCAGATAGGACAGCTCCTGTGACGATCACTCCTGTTAGGAAGCCAGAGAAACAAGTATTTTTCATTTTTGATCTCATACTGTCTGAAAGAATCCCTCAAAACCCTAACCCTCTTCCCTACAGTGTGGACAGATTAATTTGACTATCTATAGCTTGTTCACTTGCTTAGACTTTGGTAATTCTTCATTTCTTCAGATATTCACTTGAGTTACCGCAGAAACTAGTCCCCTTAGGTTTCCTATGTAAAGAGAAAGAGAAATCTTCCTGAGGTCCCATTCAGACTGTTGAAGTTTGAGATCAGCACCTCAAGGCTCCATCTCTCCCTCCTTCTGGCTCCCTCAAAATATGTTTCTAAATCCAAAACCTGGATTTAGAGAGCTACACAAATAGCCTCCATGCTAAGTTACAAAACAAAACAAAATTCATATGCTCAAAACACTCAAAACATTTGACTTGAATGTTAAATGATTTGCTTTAACCAGATAAAAACAAAACAAAACAAAAAAAACACCTTTATCAGAGAAGATCCCTATTAACTAGCGCTTGTGCTAGGCTGCCAGAACACCCGTCTAATCCCTGTAGGTCTCCCTTATGGCCAGTGGAGAGAGCTCTGGTCCTCCCCAGAGCGATATTTCTTTCTCTCAGATTTCCAGCATCTAACAAACAGATGGAGCAGCTGAAAAGCTATTCAGTTCAGTATTAGACTGAACATATATTATAAGATGGGTACTATACATAAATTTCAAGACATGGCTATCAAAATAAAATCTTCTCCTAGGAAAATTGATGCATTTAACTATTAAATTGAGTGAAAGTATAATATATGGGGGAAAAAAAGTCCCTGAGGGCTATTCTCCAAATAGTAATAAAATGGTCCAACTTTACATTTCTACACTATAACAAACTACTAATGCATTTTCTTTAAAAGCAACATTCTATGAGATTTTTTGAAACATATCAAGGGGTTAGTATCAGTGTCACCCTCTTTTCTCCGGTATTCGAGCAAGGATGCAAGAACAGTATTTTACGAGACTAAAACTAAAGAGGTAAGAAATTACCAAAAAATGCTTAAAAAGCATGCTCACATTTTTTTTTCCACAAAATGAAATTCTGCGTAAGATACACATTCCTTCCTTCTGCTGCAATCTAATTTCATACAAGTTTCTTATCTATTACACGAATATTATCTCATAAATATCTTCAGATATTAAATTATAAGGGAACTCAAGAACTTGACAGATCAAACCCAAACATGTCAGATTCCCAGTTCATAGTATAAAATAATGAATATCTTTTAACATGTATTACCATTTGTCAATGCATTTCTGGCAGAAGCTGTGAGCACAGGGTAAGATCAAATCAGCACGCCCGTCCATGCAGATGCAACATTCCTCTTCATCTGTCAGCTGTTTAACCCTGCACAAGAAAATACAGTATTTTCTCCCATATTACTAATAATGTTTTATACTTATAACCTGATTAGGTAAGATATTCCTTCTGTTATAGAACCAGATTAGTTACTACATTTTTTGTAATAGCTAATAATGGACTGAAGGTATCCACAGGTATCCACCTGTGATTATTTACAAAAAAAAAATTAATTTTGTGGATGAAATAGATCATTCTGGATCTAACCGGTTAAGTTAGGAGACAGAGCCTTAAGATATCAAACAGCAGCAAATGAACTAAAATTTAAGAAGAATATGCTTTTTTTTCTGTGCATTGGGTTGTACTTTTGGTATTAAAATGTATTTTGGTATTAAAAAATGTTATATAAAGTGTTTTCCATAACAAATGAAGTGCGAGAAGTTATAATATATGTCACATGACTAGGCCAACAAATGGAATCACTGTTTACATTAAAGGCAGAAGGAATCTGCCTTCCCTTGACAAAGTACCAGGCTAAAGTATTTCAGAATGAACTTTGACAAATTTCTGTGTATGGACTTACACGTCTGGTAAGAGGATCACTACTAGATTGCCTGCTCACTAATTCTACCTGGATGATAACTCAGATTTGTGATTTGCTAGTATACATAGAAACAATTATACTTAAAACAGGCGTGTCCTATTTATCAATTTTCTGGAACCTGAGATCTACCCCTATGATTAAGCTGCGAAAGAAATAGAAAAATACAAGAGTGACAAACCAAAGAAATGCTTGTTTCTTCAATATCAGGAGTAAAGGACTTACGGATACTTTGGAACGCTCTGTTTAGGAAGTGGGTGTTCTAAAGAAATCGGATATTATTTCAGTGGAAGAAGTTAAGATAAAGAGAAGAATGCAAAGAATAGTATTTGCTATTTTTGGACAATGACTGCCAGCTCTTATAAAGCTGAAAAACATCTAAGGGTGAGAAGAATTTAGGTAAATGTAAAGATTTCACAGAAATATAGAATATAAGATTTCATAGGTATAAAATATTGAAAAGCTTCAGTCTTTATTCATATTTTTAGTGTCTTAGGATAGAATACAACAATATTGTCACTAGATTCCAGCGTATTAGAAAAATGTCCTCAAAAAAATGTTGCTGTCAAAAATGTTGTTGTCAGCAATACCACCTCAAGCAATTAAGTTTGAAAATACAGACTTCAGGTGCTCATTTTCCCCATCTCAAATTTGAAAATTAAAAAAGCATTTAAACTAGGAAACCCTGTATGTACTTATCATTTTCAGTTGCATATAGTTGTTTTGCATAACAATCTGTTTGTTTCCAAGTAATGGGACTTTTATAGTTATATATGTGCTCAAAAGTATAATCTTTTATCTTTAAGAAAAGGCAGGGAAGTTTTTTTTCCCAAACCTGCCCATAATTTGCTACCTAATAGTAGCATTTTAATAATTCGTGACATCCAAAATTTAAGATTATCCATTGCCAAACAATAAAAGCAGAAAATAAATGAAAAAAGTATATTTTGCAAGGTTCTGATATAGAAAAATCAGTGGATTCTATTTAATGACAAGATCGTCAATATATTTCTCATTCTAACAGCTAAAGTACGATATTTTTAAAGTTAGTTTTTGAACTATCTCAATGATGTGTTAAAACTCCTTGCTATCAGTTCTTTATTAATTTGTACTACACAGAAATACAGCATAGCTTCATAGAGAACTACTCCATTTTTTCTTCTAAAACTCTACCTCAGGACCTAAGTCAGAACTCTGAGCTAACTTCCAAAGTCAGAAGTAAGGCATAACCCAAAGCCACATTTCCACAGAAGGAATGGGTGAGAAGATTTTTGCTGTTACATTCCGTCTGAAGTAAAGTTATTGCAGGTGTTGAGGTGTTGACCTCATGTTTTTTTTTTTTTTTTTTTTTTTTTTTTTTTTTTTTTTTTTTTTTTCTAGTTAACAAAGCAGGATGGCAACATGTTCGAGACAGTTCACATTTTTCCAGCCTTGCCAGTTAAATTATTACTGTAATTGATGAGTTTCTAGTGGCAACAGATGGGAACTTTCACATGCCAAAATGTAAAAGAGGAAGAGAAAGTTTAAGTGGAACAATAACAAAACCTGTTTAAACAAACATTGTCAAAACTCATAGATTTGTAGCTGTAGCTGATTCCATTTCCTCCTGTTTCCTTATTCAAGAGATTCAATACAAGTTTATACTAGAGCTCAGCACTGAAAAACTCGTTCTGAAGCCCAAGTCTGGTAGAATCAAAAAAAAAAAAAAAGAAAAAAAATCACTTAAGCACTTTGTAGCTCTCTTGTTACAATAGTGTGGTATGAATATTTGATACAATTTGATGACACAAAGTTTAAATCTGTCAAGGACATGCAAGTTTAGCTGATAGATGTCTGCAGATCAGCTTTGACACATCATTTCCAAACTATGTTGTAACTGTGGCCAGAAGTTGAAGTATATCAAAATACCTTCCCATCCATAAGCTGGCCTGACAAGACGACACAGATGTCAAACACTCAGCCGTTTCTTCAGAGGCACTGCTCCGGGCAAGAACTCCTGCTGCTTGACTGGTGATGTCTTTATAAAGTTGAATAAACTGATACAAGTTCAAGATCCTGGAAGCTTCCACGATGCCATTTGTTTTATTTATCTTAAGATACAAAAAAAAAATTAATAATTATGCATTAAGTTTGTATTTGACATTGCTTGCATTTTTTTATGCATTGCATTTCTCATGGAAATACTTTCCCAATTGCCTATCCCATTTTAGCAGATCTGGATCCACTTCAGTACGATATGCAAAAAGAGCTTCTTCCCATTTTGTTAAGAATATCACAACCAGAACTCATTTACATGACAAGACAACTACTGTCATTATTGAATCAGCTTAAGTTAGAACTAAATGGGGACCTGATATATGGGAAGTGGGTTAATGTTAGTACAAGAAAGAGTATTTCACGTTTGGAACTTAAAACTGTTCACAGTAGTGGTTGCCTTAATGAAAATCTTATGCCTTATTATCAAAAAATAAACAAAAACTCCCTTCAAGCACATACTAAAAAGAAAAAAACAAATCAAAACAAAAAAGTTTAAGAATCTGATTTGAACTCCAAGAATTAAAATTGCTAGTGACTTCAGGATCATTGGAGGAAATTATTTGATAGGATACTGAGAGGAAAAAAAAGTCTCCAAGTTCAAGTAGCAAGTTTTGTCATGGTCTTCAAACTAATAGGCATTCAATTTTTAGTCTCTCTCAAAAATATATAAAAAAAATAAAATTAAACTGCATACAGTTACACTAGTTCATTAACACCTGAATCTGCTAGCTAATTTCAACTACCAAACTACACAGTTCCCATTTCGTTGCACTACTTGATTTCCATAGCTTCCTCATAAATCACCTTAAATCATAGTCACCACGTAACAATGTAATTCCTTTAAATTTAGTCATGATAATATATTTATTAATGCCTTTTTTTTAATTTATATCAAATAACATGTTAATATTTCATCTGTATGAAAGTATCTTTTTTAACAGCTGTGTGATTTTACCAGCAAGTGATGCCTCCAAATTGTCACACACACACACACACACACACACACACACACACACACACACTCTCAAGGTAAAAATTTTCAACACTCTTACTTTAGTACAGACTATCCGAACTATCACTTTCCAGAGAGCAGAAGAATCAGAACCTGGCTGCACTTCAAATAATAGATGTTTGTCTTGTCCAGAAGCCAACTTTGCAGTACTGAAGAGGAAAATAAAAATTTAAAAAATAAATAAATAAAGAAAGAAAGAAAGAAAAGAAAAATAAGTCTACCATGATATGCTAGATATGCAAAGATAAGGAACCTCTGATACTCTATCATTTATTGTATATCCCTATGCTTTTTACCCTTAAAGAAGTTTTATCATTACTGCCCAAACAGATAAGGAAAATTAAGGATAGTGACCTCCTTTGTGTGTCGTTCAATATAAAATACACAGCTCATTTAACTTTAATTTGCACTGTATATATATTTCACAAAATGATGTGCAAGTTTTCTGATCCACCATGAGGAAATAGGTATCTTTTATAGACATTATATTTTCATTTGTATATAAAATTACTGATTGTTAGAGTAATTGTGCAATCTCTAATTCTTCACAACCTAGCAGACTATTTACTCTGTGCGTATGGGAAAACCATGCAAATACCAACTGAAGCAAATAAGGTACATCTTTGCTGGTATATATTAATAGTAAGGGAGTAAGCTTCAGCTGACCGTGATTTTTCAATAGAACACAGGTAAAATGATCTATTCCTTAAGAACCAGAACTAGATATTTTACTTTCAGGCTGAAGTGAAAGCTATAAAGAAACAAAATCTTGAATTGCAGTGATATTTTGCAGTTATGTAGAAATATACTTAACAGGTAGAATATAATATAACATTCTTCAAAACCTATTTAAGTTACCTGCTCAGAAGACAACTACCTGTTATTGAAGGCACAGTAGTGCACCTTCCAGTAAAAGCATAAAACTGTACAAGGCAATTTCTAAAATGAAAATAAATTACCATTACAGCTTAGCATCCAACACCACAAAAACCCCCACACTACATAACCCCTTTTAAGCATGTACTTTTCCCCTTGACCTCATTATGGACTATTAAAATTGAGTAAAAATGACAACTCTGCTGTTTGGTTGGCTTCTTTTAACTCTTAATACACCAGAGTAAAACAAAAAACTGGCTATAAAAAGCCTCTCTTATGCAGCCTTTTGTTTAGAACTATCTTGGTCAGTGGTTTCCAAATACTGTGCCTCATCATTTCTTTAATGAGGAACATGACCAGAAAGCAAGAGAAGAAAAAGAGAAAGTAAGGCTTACACATCATTAAGCTCAGCCACTCTTCCCAGAAATTCTTCATATGTTAAGAAACCACTTTCTCGAACCAAAGAGGCATGCTTGGCTACTTTTTCCGGCAACTTGTTAATTACAGTTTGTGTCTGGTTTGAGATATGTTGACCCATATTGAAATTCTTCACCTCAGTTCCAGAGAAGGTAGGTCTCATTCACATGTAGAATCTCTGCTAAAAATATTTTAAAGAGTAAAAGTTATATCTGCATGTTTTAAAGAAAACTGCTACTACTTTCTTCTTTCAGCATAAGAGTTTAATTACCCCTAACCAGTCTAATAATGTGAGTAACACCTCAACAGTAGAATTGGAAACAAGACAGAACACTCTGGGATGTAGCATTAATAACTTCTGAAAACTGTATTCTTACGGCACAATTTGTATTAAATAGAGATGATTTATTCATACAGATTTTTCAACAACTCCATATATAAATACATGTGATGTAAAGGAAAGAAAGAAAAGGATAATCACAAGATGTTGACAACTTACAACAATCTTTGAATTTTCTTAAAAAAATATTGTGTGAAAGTTAAAATACGAATAGCCACGTTAACATCTGTCTGTACATGGACACTATAAGTTAGCTTTCATATTTCAACTGTATAAAAGAATTCTCATTCTTAAACTGGTAATGCAGGAGACTCACATCAGTCTAAATCAATTCAAAAACCCATGAAATTAGCACAGTCCTTATGTGCACAAAATATTGAACTATTCAAGAGAGCAAATTTTGCAAAGTTTTCTGGAAGGACATGAAATTTATAAACAAGTTTCTACAAAAGAGAAAAAAGAGGGGAAAAAAAAAAAATGACACACCATACAGCCATGCTCTCTGCTCAAGTCAACCTGCCAGTTTGTGTCACAGTACTCACTGGTCAAACCTCTGATCTTAATGGTTCACCTTTCCTTTACGCTCCAGAGTCTGCACAAGATTCTACCCTATATCCTCATTCCAGATAAGTCTTTATTCCTTTCTCTTGTTCCCTTCTCATCTGACATTTCCCCAAAACTTCTCTCTGCCCTTTAGTAATGGGCAGACAGAGGTGAACTCATTCTGCCCACACGTTTTTGTCACTGCTAGTGATGTTCCATAGTTTCACTTTCTTTAAGACTTCTATAGATAGAAGTCCAAAATAACAAAACCTTACCTTACAACCTTAATTAGAATAGATGATCTGATTTTACGTGTACCACAAATATACTATGATTATCATTCAAACACAAAATTTCATCCTACCCCTATATAAAGCTACACTTTTGCATAAATGTTACCAAGAAAAGAGCCTATAACTATCACGAAGTTTACTACCATGCTGTAAGAACCAAAAAAGTATATTCTTATCTCACTATCCCAAGAAATGTTGTAGTATTTCACCTAGGAGAATTAATTTCAAGTTTAATGGTTTAATTTTGGTCAATCTCTGCTCTCGAGAAGGTGCACTCCCACAGAAATCTTACTTTCTCCCAGCCTAGCCTCCAGTCTCTTCCCTGCAAGCTCTGTAGACCTCGTGCTTGGCACGTCCAGGAGATACCCCTGAGAAACCTCCTTTCAGTGGTAAAACCTTTCATCCTTCAAGCACAACCTACTCCCTATCTTCCATTTTTGTTCTCCTTCTGTTTCCCACAGAAGCAAAGCATGAACAACACAAAAGCAGAGAATAGTTCATACAAAAAATATCTAGCTCATAGGTGGAAATTTGTAGCAGTGTTCTTTTTTTTTTTTTTTTTTTTTTCCCCCTTCTCCTAAGTTCAAAACCGCACACCAGACCTGTCAGGAACAAAACTGGCAAGGCAGAGAGGCACCCGAGGACAAAAGGCAGGGAAGGCGAACCGAAACGATGGCCGCGGGCAAGAGCAGACAGCACCGCCGCGCCCCGGGGAGGGCCCCACGCTCGGCGACCAGCCCGCAGCGGCCGTTACCGCCCGGCCGTAACCGTTGGGCCGCGCTCAACGGCCGCGCATTCGGGCCGCGCGCACAAGC